TCAGCAGCATGCAGTCCAGCTTCTGGAAGTCTAGGCCCTGATGGACTACAAATACACATACAACACATCTTTGGTGTTTGGGATTTTCTTTTGGTTTATTTTGTCCCTTCCTCCCCACCCCAAACCAACCCACGCTGCCTCTGCCGATAGGAAAAGAGAAGGCAACAATGCCGTGTGGTTAAAGCCCCAAATGCAAGGGGTTGCAGTGGACCTATAGGGAAGACTGTAGGCCTCACACACTGGGACTACTTCACCATTAAAGATCTTAGAGCAAAGCTGACATTAGGTAAGTGCATTTAGAGAGCACCCACTTCATAAAAGTAAAAAAGGGATCTAAGATAAGAAAAGGTTTTCTTCCTCCATCCTCCTCAATCAGAACTGATTCAAATTAGGGCTAAGCAGTCTATTCTAAATCACAATGGAACCCCAAGTACTTGATTTCAAACCCTTCCTCTCCTCGTTCAATGATGTTTGTGATATAAAACCGGGAAAAGCAAAGTGAAATAAAAATGGAAGTCACTGCAAAACCATATAGCTCTGTTTATTCCTTCTTCTCTGTTTGCAAGAGGCCCTAAATTTAATCTGACAAGTGAGACATCCTGGGACAGCCACGTATGAAATATTTCATAGCCGAAGTGCAGCACGATGAGAAGGGAAAATTACTAGATGCCAAAAAAATTTCTAGAGCACATACAAGCGTGGGAGGCAGAACACAGGCGTATCACTTTCCACATAAAACAAGGCACAGAGCAAACCAGGGGCACGGGGATGCTCCTCAGCTGAGAAACAGAGTCAGACAGGGCTCGCTCTTCAGACTGGTGTCTCCTGCACTGTCACAGGCTGGAGTGGTGACACCCACACCCGCTGACCCCATGTGTCTCCCACCTCAGTCAGCTGCACTAAATCCTGGCATAAATTTACGAGAACAAGCAGCAAAGAAAACACCTCTGTGGAGCCACTGCAGATTTCATCTCCGTGCCACTAGCTTTAAAAATCAAACATAAGTAAGTGCAAGGACTAAATCAATGCAGTCTTGAAGTCCACTCTTAATCAGCTCAATACTCCAAGATCCTATTTGTCTTAGTGAGTTTATTTTTTTTTCCAGTAGTGTATTTACACAGCAATCATCCACCAAAACCAAGTTTACTAAGGATGGCCAGTGACACAGTAACACTACAAAGGTATTCGACACAAACAGGATTTGCAGATCTGCATCAGCAAAGAAACCACAACACAGACCAACCCATGATGCTGGGAAAACGCTCCACTCATTTAATACACGGCAAAAACCAAGTAGGAACCTTATGTTATGCTGAAACCTTCTCAAATGTTATGTCCCATCTTCTAGATTTATTCAACATACCTGGTATTTTTCTGGGCATTCATATGGAAAGTCAAAAAGATTTATTACGAGAGGTTGGGAAAAAGCAAAGGAAATGCAGAGTGGAACCACACTTTGAAAAATCAACTCTTTACCAATGACCTAATGAACTGTTAACGATTTACTTTTGCTGTCAGCAACATCAAGCACTAACCTAAAGGTACAGTTAAACTACAAATGCAGTAGTAAATATGAAAAACCAACCTTCAACCTCATTCTGTGCTTTCTGACAGCACAGTCATCCAGTGACATGGTACAGAGCACACCCACAAGGTGTCTTCACACCTCCAGCATTCCCCTCCCAAACCCAGCTTTCCTCCCAATCCAGCCACAACACAGAGGTGCGTGTTTCAAAAGGACGGTGCTGTGATCAGACAGCAGAGTACTGAGGAGCTCTTTATTTAGTGCTGGCAGCATGATTCTTGGGGAGTACAAGCTCCTAACAGAAAACTGCAGCTGTGGCCAAGAGGTAGAAATTAAATTTTTAATCCTGTACTGAACCAAGTGAACCGTATGTCAGAGAGGAACATTGCAAAACTTTGGGGAAAAGAAGTGCCAGGGCTTCACAGCTCATCATTATCAACCAAAACTACAAACCAACACATCCCTAAGCAACAGACAGCTCCTATTTCACTCTGCATAGGAACAGTCAGCTTTAACTTGCAGCTCTGGTGCAGGCAGGTGCTCCGTGGAGGACCAGTGACATCTGGTGGTTTGCTGGGACACACCACAAACTCCCCGAGGGCCACAACACGCCTGCCTTCTTCACAGGCTCCCTGAACACCACCTCCCAAATTAGCTGCTCTGGAGCTTATTTATTTGTTAAAAGCCACTGCCAACACAAGAGTGAGCTACACCCAAAGCATGTGCTCAGCATGCAGGTTCCTCCCTCATCACTTAACAGGTTTCCAGTCCTGAACGCAAGGGAAAAGGGGCTCTTTAACCTCTTCTGCTCACAGAGTGTAAACTGTGATCTTTATATCAGTGTCTTCAAACACTTCCCCGAGTATTGCTGAGACCTTATCCCACTCCAGGCGGTCAAGTCCACATCCAATCCTGGAAAATAAAGACACCAACACAGCTGTAAGGGCCTCTTCTGGAGCATGCTGTGAACAACTAACTCTTCAAGCAGCTACTATTTTATGTGGCACTAACTCAGCTCACCATAAATTAACATAATGCAGTTAAAACAAGGCAACAACCAAGTCTGTATATCTTGTTATCGTTTAAATGCACTCGAAAATGCAAATTTCATTCGCACAACTGAAGAACTGAGCAGAAATGGATGCTTGAACAGTTATTTCAAGGCAAGGGATCATCTCTCATGCAAGAAACACTGAAGTATTTACATCACAGCAGCTTACTTGGGCATGGAAATGTCAGTAACTCCATTATTCAGACAGTGAACTTTCATGGCTTCTAAACTCTTTCGCATATTCTCATACGTCGGTTTGTGAGAAACTTTCTGCTTCGTAATCTAAGCACAAATGGAAAAGGTCAGCTGTGCCTTTGGCACGATCATTGCCAACTACTTGCTTTTTTAAAAAAACCCATTCCACTATGCTCTGAAGCTCCGCACCCAGACTTGCTACTGCAAAGAGACAAAGACTTGGAAGAAGAACTATGTTTCACAGCTTAAAACAGTCTAATTTAGCAGCTAGTTCTGTCCATTTACAGTTTAAATATACGTAGACAAGACAGCTTGGCTTCTCCTCAACTAGCAATATTTGAGTAAAGCATCTCATGCCTCTTATTTAAGAGTGAACATACTCAAAAACATGACTATTAAAGCCCTCATCACCACATCTAATAGAGCTTAGTTACAGGGAAGTGCCTGAGTCATGTCCCGCTCTTACCAGGTAGTAAATATATCGGTCCTCTCTTTGGAGAACTGCCACCTCCCCAGTCTTCTTTTCTAAAGTGAAGAAATCAGTGAAGGCATTCTTCTCAAGTGAAGGTATTTTTAAAACAGTTACATTGCATTACACAACTTCCCCTGCACCCTGAGCCACTTGGAACACCCTTACAGGTGGGCATCAAGGTTTTCCCTTCAGCTCCTGCATGTCCACCCTACGGGTCTCACTCACGTTGATCCAACAGCTCTTGTACGCCTCCAAACTTTTTCTTAAAGAGAACAGCGATGCCCGCGCCCATGCGACAGTCCTCGCTGATGCAATGAGCCAGTGCGTCCGTCTGGGGGCAGGAGAAAAGGTCCCCCTTAACACATTTGATCTGGAAAACACCACAAAGAGAAGGGTAAATTAAAATAAGAGTGCAGCCTCCGATAAAAGAGCACTCAGGTAACAATGAATCAGGCAAACCTGTACAGTAAAGAGTGTAAGGCTTCCAGTTTAAGATGCTGCTCGTAAGTAAATGAGTTGGCACAAATTACAAACCCAACATACAGATAACTACCTTTTCTACAAGATAAATTATGAGCATTACATGCCAGCTCAACAGTTAATTTTACAAAATCAATGTTTAGAAAGGAGAATTACATCATAGGGACTCCAACTGGACCAGTCCAGCACGCTACCAGTGTTAGTGCTGGGTATTACCACACATTTAGTTAAGCACATGAGCTCTGTGCTGTTGCACAGTATCTAAATCACTCACATAAGCACAAAAGCACATGAAAATTAGCAGTAACAGCCACTTTCCTCTAGAACACGACATAGTACAGCCAGCTTCCGTGTTATTAGGGGGACTTGAAGGTATCTTTACAAGATACATATCACAGCAGTAACCCAGATAACCTATTTTCTACGCACCCTCTCCTCCTGATCCTTGGATAAGTGGGTGGCCATGGTAACGTGGGCTACAGTGAAGGCTCCTGTGACCAGAAAAAGGGCAAAGAGAAAGAGTTATTACGAACATCAAACTAGGCAATAAACTGGTGTGCCAAAAGGTGCAAGCCTGAACCTGCTTTATCTGTGGGACAGCTAGGAGAGTCAAGACAGCCCCTGAAAACAAATAAGGAGGAAGCCAGTACCCAAACAGCGTGGTGCAAGCTTTCCCACTGCAGCCCCACAGCTCCAGCCCAGGAGGTACAAGTAGGCCCCAGCCCAGGGCCACCACACAACTGACACCCACAGGCCTCACATTCTCTTCCAAATCACCCCTGCCCCTTCAGGAAACCCCACAGCAGGCCACACC